AATTGAATTGAATTGAATTAGTCCATCTCTTTATATTAGTTTTTTTATAGATACAAGTGTATATAGCTTGCACTACTCCCATATGTTATATCTGCTGCAGTTTGCAGGGCTGTGTTGGTAGGTTGTAGACGTACGAGATAAAGAAATTAGAAGATGACTTAAGCAATTAGGAGATTAATTTAAGAGCTCTTTATAGTTTCCCAGCAATACCTGAAGTTACTGAGGGGTGCCCCTAATGATCTCTTTGTTTTATGAAGGCTCAGTAATTTCTAAATATAGCTGTGGAGCATAAGAAAACATCAAAAGTTGCATTTCTGATAACTGTTTTCGTCTGACAACAAAATCTTTAACTACAACATGTGAACACCAGCTAGGTTGCGCTCTGGGTGGATCTGAGTGTCATGGTAATGAATTACTAATCATACTTGAGCTCAACGGAGCTTCTTTCCCCTATCAATCTGTCAAGATGTCATATAAAAATTTATATAGTACGTTAGAATTTTAGATATTTTTTGTGGAGGCTGATTTATGCAACAGAGTAATGTTCCAGTGTCACCCCTAGATATATGTTGTAATAAGAGTATTTCATAAAGATGGTGAAGCCATATTGGATAAATTCAGGGTTGTTTTAAGCTACAAACCCAAGAAATTACAGGAGATTGTTTGCATTAGACACACTCTCGTTGCTGAAAATAGTTTAGTTTAGATGAGCCAGCTGCCTGAATGGCGCATGCGACCCCCACTTTATGACAGTGACGAACACTGTTGTGACATCAGAGGAATCGGGCATTGTAGCTGTCCGGTTGAAGTCATGTCGCTGTCTGATTGGACTGAGCAGGGTATTTTACACCTGTGTCAGAGGTTGTCCAAACTGCTGTGCATGTTCAAAAATGACTCTCTTTTATAGTTGTTTGCCCTAATAGGGTTTAGTGAAGCTCAATCCATTGAGGAAATAGCTCAGATACAGTGACCAGAGTATTGGTATGAGGCTAGTAGTGCATGATGCAGTATTTTATCATGCTTCAGTCCTAGTATTAATATTTTTTTTAAACCTATGTTTGTTTGTTTTTCATTGATACTGAGTGCTATGACCCTTTCTAATCTCTTGCTTAATTTACGTTTGATCTTTTGCTTCTAAAGAGTTATAAATCTGTTGGAATAGTGTTCAGCTACTATAGTTCCGAGTTCATGCTGTTTGCAGACTGCATTGACATTTAACAGCGCCTTGGTTGATTGTACAGAATCTCCCGCCTTGTTCTGTGTTGAAAACCTTTTATTTTTCTTCTGTATGGTTAAATTGTCTTGTTGTAGCACTATTCGTCTGACCCCCAGCTCAGAGGAAAATTGATGCTTCGGTGTAATTTACACATGACCCTGTGAGTGAAACATCAGCTTAGAGCTGTGCAATAGTCTGTGAACCACAACAAAAGAGTCTCTGCTTTAGAGACTGTGTTGCAAACCTTATCTTATCTGTTTCTGCACCTTTTGTATGGCCTCTGGGACTATCTCATGGATGCTTTAGGAGAAATGGTGTCAGCACAAGGGCACTTTTCTTGTTTTTGAATCCTGAGTGTTTACAAAAGTGGTCACAATGTGTAGGTCCAAAGTAATAGTTGAGGTAATGATGGGACTGGACACGCTGTTGTAAGATCTTGGCGCTGGACAGTGTCCATCACTGCATGGCTATTTGGCTCTTTTAATGTCTCCTGCTGCTTCCTTCCTGCCTCTGCTAGCTATCATTAGACCAGAGGGGGTTGAAATGGATGGAAAGATGGTCTCCAATTTCAGCTCCGACTGAAATCTGTGTGCTGCATCAGACTGTGTAACTGCACTGTTGTTTAGCCGTCACTTTAGCTCAGCGGCCCCCTTATTTTCATTCTAAAAATGGTTAACTAATATGAAGCCAGTGCCAATGCTTGTATGCGCAGTCTGTGGCACACATAGCATCAGACAAAGTGTCTGGAAATAACTACAGGCACATGGGGGTGTTTTTGGTGGAGCATGCTGGGGAACAGTATGTGATTAAGACATCTGTTGGTGAGCTGTGGGACACATGTTTGTCGAATTGAGAGCTGCGCACGCAAGATCAAAACCTTCACTTTAAAACCCAACAGCCTGTTAAGATGACAGTCACCTGGAGATTAGTTTTATGCAATGTCCATGATGTTGTGTTTAGTCTGTATGTGACTTAGACTTTATTATTGCATTGCACTATAAACACGCCTATACTCCAGTTTAAAAAACATCAAGCTGTGCCGAGTGACAGAAGGGCTTCGAGAGGTGTAATCTCACGTCTCTACCATTCTGTTACTAGCTGCAAAATGCAAGCGACGTAGTGATTTCTTTGCAGCTCTTACTGAGATCCTGTGCTGAGTGTGTTGCTGGTGTTAACCGGGATCATTTTGTCTTTGCAGGCTGCTACCACAGACCTTTGGCTTCCTCTATGTTGGCAACTACGACAGGCCCTTTGCGCAGATGAAGGTGAGAAATAAAATAAATTCAGCATTGTACCAAAAAACCAAAGCCTCCATCCTCATCCAGCTTTAAATTAGCTTTTTTTTAAGGTGTGTGGTTAGGCAAAACTGCAGTTGAATATAAATTAGTCCTCCAACCACTTTTACAAGTGTAATCTTAATTTTCCTTTTCCATTAACACATTTTCTCATATTTTAAAATTGCCGGTTTCCCAGTTAGCTTCAGGTTTTACTTCCAGTGGCTCCATTGTGTAGTAGTTTGCGCAAAGATCCCAGGTTCAATCCCCAGAAAAAGCACAAATTCCTGATCTGTGGCACAACCTGCTGTGAAAAAGGAATCAGCCGAAAGTAGCTTTATTTCTATTTCTAGAACCTCTTATGTCTTCACGTGTGGTTATTAGATACATATTTCTGCCTACTGCTCACATTTTTAAATTAAATAGCTGCAGTTTCCTTTTTCTTACATAAAATACCTGATCTTATTAGTGAAGTTTAAACTGTTTGCCCAGATATTTCAGTAAATTTATGTGTTTGATAACATGGAGTTTCAGTGTAGCAGAATTGTATATGTACATTTAATATATCTGCAGTACCCCGCTGATGAAATGTGTTATACCACCTACCATAAAACAATAAAATAACGATATTTAGAAATCCCAAATTGGACATTTTTAAATCCAAATTGGAACAACTACACTCGACTTCTCTGAGAAGAAGAAATTAATCAAGCATAACATTCAAATGCTAAATTTTGGGCAATTTATTAATTAATATCAACACCTTTTCTATGAAAGTTTGGCCTTTTTTTGTTTCGTGTCAGACATAAACAATTTGAATTTATGTTCCAGGATGCAGAAAGTTGATAAGGCCATTCTGGACTTTCTGACTTGCAAAACAATTAATAGGATAATGCATTTACCTATTAGAGACTGTGCCAAATCGTTGGGTGCTTGACAGATGTTGAGCAGGTAAACATAGAAGCAAGAAGACAACAAATGTACTGTTGGAAAGTTACTCTTACAGAATGAGTGTATGTGACGTTTCATCATGCTTGTGTCATGTGTAATTGATGCATGTTGCTGTAAAAAGTGGTAAAAAAAAAATGCATTTGGAAGCTTCACATAACAGTGATGTTCAGGTCAACGGGTTTCATAGTTGCATAATGTCTGCTGTCTGTGAATACACAGTTGAGATGACATCATCAGACATTTGACCCACAGCATCACAGACTCAGTCCTGTGCACTCCAGTGATAGCTACCATCTCATCACCATCATATATAGGTTAGGGTCCATTAGTTTAGAATGAAAATTTGCCAGTCTGAGGCAGCTGACGAGCAACATGTGTTTCCATTTGTTTTACTTTGCTGTAAATTTCCACGAAATGACTTGCAGCATTTGTAGCCTTTCCAGTCATGGTTCAAAAACACAGTAAACAAGCTTTTCTTTTCCCTATCGTATCATCTTGTCGTGCCAGATTCCCATGTATCAGCCCTGGGCTCTGTCACCAAACACGGCAGATTCTGTTTACTGCTCGGTCTCTAAGCTTCTCACGGGGTGTCGGAGCAAAAGCTGCAGCCCTGGGGTCATCCTCTGTCAGATTACATGTTGTTATTTTTGTGGTAAAATGTGTTTTACAGTAAGTCCGAATGTGAATATGCTAAAAATGGTAATTACTTGTCATCGCAGGACTTGATGACTTGTGGTTTTAGTCAGAAAGGCTGTTCCTGATAAATCTGACACCTCTACACAGCCTGTGTGTGCGTTTGTTGTCTGCTGTGCTCTGTCACACAATGGTTTTGACATTCATCGCTTTCCTTGTGGCTGTGCTAGTAATTTCAACGTGCCTATTAGATGCATTTGGTGGCATATCCAGTTTCCACTATATTGAAATCCGTTTGGCTGCTGTTGAGAGAAATCAAACCAACTTTGTCTGTGATAGGAAAAATGTTGTAATCTTCACAAAAACTTGTTTTATTGGCTCAATCTTCCAATTTAGTTCCTTATTGTTGTAATTTCTTACATTGTTTGCACCTACAGGGTATAGGTAAAGTGAATATCAGCTGAGCACTTCAGAAAGAAGTCTGCTGTCTCACAAATATTGCGAGACAGCAGACTTCTGGAAAACATTTGTGTGGCTCTCTAAATGCTGTTTGGAATTAATGAGTATTTACTGAAAAATGGTCTAATTATGATAAGCATGTCTGGACTTATTTATGACTTGCTGTTTGTTAAAAATTCAGCTGTAATTAGAATTTAGAAAGAAAGTCTTTGAAGTCAAGTAATGTAAATAAAAACAGTAATGTCAGTCAAGTCAGTGCAATTACAAGCTAAAAAAAAAAAAACAAGTACTAAAACCACTCATAACAGTGTTTATTTTATCCTATTTATTTATTTATTTATAGCAGTATTTAATACGTTTTTCCTGTATTTTCTTATCCCCATCCCAAATTTTGCAAACATGTTGCTCACATTAAATTCATCATGAGCATGTTTTTCAAAACACTACAAAAAATGTTGGTTTCTTCCTTTTGATATGTTGTTTTTATACTTTAATTAAATGTACAGTATGAATCATTTGTAAATTTGTGTAATTTTCCTTTCTTTATTTTATCATTTTAGCTTTTTTGGAAACAGGAATTTATTTGTTACCCGGGTTAGGCCACAGGCCTAGAGACTGGTTGATGACTCTCTTGGAACCGCCACTTGCTTTGAAATGAGTATTCTCCAACTGGTTGCTGGAGGTTACCGGCAGTCACTGTGAAATCAATTGCTAAAGCCCCTTTCACTAAGGCTGAGAGACCCATCAGTGACCCCCTGACAACCAAAGGTTGCTAGGAAACGATGGGCACTCCTTGACCGGTTAGCAGGTGGTTGCTGTAGGTTGAGTCACCAAGAGTGTGCTGCACTGAAAACCTCCTTACGATTGATTTGGTCACTGGCAGATTGCTGTGGGCGCCCATGGTATGCATGGAGGATGCTGACTTACCTCACCAACTACTCACCAAGCTGTGATGAAACTGAAAACGTGTATCAGAAATAGAAAATTGTTACATAATTAGACCTTTATTTTTTGACTTTACAGGTTCACAAACTGGGGTTGATTCACTTGCTTTGGTTGTTGTTATTCCTAGACTTTCAAAAACATTTCCACCGTCACGTCAGCATTTGGTTTGCGGGTTGCCATTTTGAAGCATCAAGTTTGCATTTCTGCCTTTGCCATTTTATTTTTGAACCAGAAGTGATCATAATTGGGCAAGAGGATGGAGTAGCACCCAAAACCTGGTTGAAGAAAAATACTCAATACATTTGAACTCTGAAATTTGTCACTAAAGGATTGCCTGGACCACAATCTAGGGACCACCCACTGGTCCCACATGGACCACTATTTAGCTAATGTCATTCATTTAAAATCACGAATGATATTTTGGCTAGGGGTGGGTTTTAATAATTGATTCATCGATTAAAATCGATTCTGGCTTGGATAACGTGATATCGATTCATTAAAATCCTGAATCGATTTTTTTATATAAATGTATTTTGCTCAAAATTCCAGAATCTCAGGTGAAACGTCACAAAATTTCAACAACCACCAAACAGCTAAAACAGTAAATGAGAGCAGGTACATGGATTCTGCACAAAGACGTAAACACTAGGGCTGGGTATCGTCACTGATTTCTAGAATCAATTCGATTCCGATTCACAAGGTCCTGAATCGATTTGAATCTGGGAAATTTTGCCTCAGACAGTCAGAAATATTATAATTCAGATCAGTACATTTACATATTTTTGTATCTATAAAAAG